TCTGCTATTTTGGCTTGCTTCAAATTTATACCGGGGAAAAATGCTTTAAATAACTAGAAAATCGCATTGCCGACAACGTTAAAGCAGACTGGAATAGTAATTTCTGGCTCATTAGCCATCACCGACCAATCATGCCCAACCCTAAGTAGTGCACCGCCTGAAGTTCGAACTCGCGACCTTTTACTCAAAAAATTAACGCTCTAACCATTGAGCTACGAGCTCGGTAGATATTGACACTCGTTGATGAACGTTTACAGATCGCTAACAGAACTGAGGCGTGTTGCTTTGTGTTGGGGCTCATTCTCGAGCTCCGCTAGCAGCCGCATATTGGTTAGTTGCTAAGGCAGATAGCATTCCCAACGTACAGAAGGGAGACTGGAATGACCATTTCTGGCTCAACTCGGGCTAGCTGCAACCTTCTGCTGAGGAGGGAACCCAGACGACTAAACTCGAATCTCGCGTCAAGTGTCCCGCCTCAGCTATTGAGGTCTTGCCTGATAGGAGTGGTCCCCTCCAATATGCTAACAGTGTTGAACCCTATCGCTCATGGCAAGCCGTAAACTTTACACACAATCCTTATAGGTTATTGCGAGGTTATTACCTAGTGCTAATTAAATATTGTATCAGGTGTGCACCAAAGCAGAATTAACGGATAGGTGGGTACGACATTACTTTTTTAGACACTTTATCATCTCAAAATGTGTCCTGATCTCAAACACTTTGCAGGCAAACAGACGAAATTTCCTCAAGGAAGTCGCCACGAAGGAGCATAGGAACGGTACTTTTGGAAATTGTTCTGTGTTTAGATTCATAAGGCAATCAGATTAAGTTCCGTTTGGTCATCTTGACTCTGTCTTGTCCCCGGTTCATGCGGGTTGAGGGTGAAGAGTGTGGTAGACGGTTGCGCGTCTACATTCACTTAAATCTAATTCCTGACTCTAATCACACTCCCTGCTCCAATCTGGTTGGAGCACATTGTGGACTTCAACGAAATTGATGATCAAACAATGACACTGGCTAATACTCTGAGGATCCGTGAACCATGACTCAAGCGGCTCATGGTTCACGCGAGTGTCACCTCTTGCGGCAAATTAAACTCTGAAGGTGTGGCCGCGCTCCGTCAAATGCAGTAGGCCTTGAGAATTGACAAAGTTTCTCCTGACTGCCGCCACGTGTTCAGCTATTCGCGTCCAGTGTAGTAGCTTTGTCCGCAACCGGGCCAGACCTGATAGACGTGAGTGTGTGTAATTAATTTCATTATCTGATGTCTAATGGTTGGCTTCGCTCTGTGCGTCATGGAGATGAGGCTCCAACTGCAACCCTGCAGGCGACAAGGTAAATTTAATACTACATTGGGGATAAGAGTGACTACTGTCCGATGATATTCCCGGAAGCAGGCATAACTGCTGTAACACAATGGAACCGGCCATGCACCTGAGCGCTCTCGACCATGCATACCATCAGCACCCGGATTGATCCACCGTCTGCTGTCCAATAAGACGTCACACACGACCTACGTCAGATGAGGTGAATAAAACAGTCCTTTCCCATTTCGACAAAGCCTGGGAACAGCCAAAAACCTTCGATGACTCACAAAGCCGAGGAGAAATCCAGGTCGTGACCAGTAAAGAGGTCACTGCTGGCAAGTTAAGGGCACTGTACCGCTGCTCCATTTGGGGCGGAGCATCCTTACTGACGGAAAAATCACAAATTCCGAGCAATTCAGAAACAAGAAAGAATTTAAGTTTTAAAAATTATGTTTAGCTATCCTGTGAAGTTTCGTTTGCACAAAATGTAGTAAGAAAACAGTTTCGTCTGAAATTTTGTTTTACCGCACAGCTGTTCTTGCGTATAAGCAAACTTTGCCATATATGTTAAAGTGAAGTGATGACAGAAATATACACTTTTTTGCAAACTGCACTTTCCGCTTATATGTTATTAAGAAACGGAACAGGCAGAAGAATAATAAGTATTTAGTTGGTTTGGTTATTAAGTTGGTTTGACAGATTTGGTTAATTTAGTTGACCCAATTGTGAAAGAAATCGCGGCATTCGGCGGGATTCGAACCTCACAGGAGAATGGCCTTTTACACAAGCCAACGCCCTACCCACTTGAGCTACGAATTCGCGCAACACACCGTGAGTTTAATCACACTTGGATCGATATTACCCGCCCAGCTTTGCCGCTCACATGGAATTCACCAATGCGGGCCAGCAAGTTGACTGCGAGTTTTTTCACAATTGGGTCAACTAAAATAATAAGTATTTCAAGAAATGGCCATATTTATGGCCAGTCTTTTTTGCATTCGCAAGCTTACAGTCGATTGTGGAATTAGTCCACTTATGCTGGAAAAAATCCATTATAAAGAGAAAAGAAAGTTCTTTCATCTCCAGTCAAACTGAACCGTTTATCTTCAGGTAAGTTAAAGAAATGGTCAAAAGTCTCAAATTTCATTGTGACATTACCTTGGAAAAAGTTAATATACACATAAATTCGGCAGCCAAATGTCCAATCAAAGCCATTTTTAAAGAGGCAACCTTTTATGGAAAGTTTCTTTATTAATATTAGGAATAACAATATCAGAATTCCGTTGCGGACATGATTTATTCTCGACAATACGGTTTGCAATTTTGAGGCATTTCTACATTTGAGCAACGTGGTCACCATTATAAAAACTCATATCCAAAAACACCTCCTTTCCGTAAATGCTCTTTATATCTATGTTATTTTAAAGATTTTGCTGTAAACGTCGAATAGGAGCGAAATTTATCAATTAAGACAGTGAGAACGACGAAAATAATGCCAGAGTTTATTCGACGATATTCAATAAATAGTTATCCACTAATGGTAATATTTACAGAATATTTTGATTAAAGAAAAGTTCTTTCTATATAAAGAAATTGGTTTCATTCCGTTTTAAACTGTATAAAATATTTAAATTTATTGTTTTAATTGATAGCTATTTTTACATCTCCGGAACTTGGGGTTTATCGGAAAATTTTTATTTTTCTTAACAATCACTTAGTACATCTTATAGTTGTTTAAGTACTTAATATGCCTAATGCTGCTCATTATTATTTATAAGTTTCCGTAAATGCGTTCTCACAGCTATGCGAGAAATAAGCAAACATTAAAAAACTTAGGCAAGTTGTTTGCAGCACTCGCCATACTGTATGTCCTGATGGACTGAGTTGAGCCAAGTTTTGAGCTGAACGCCTCATCGAAGTCTCTAATTGGGTAACGGTGGCAGATCGAGAGCAGTAACACTGAGCTCGCAATATTGCCGACGGAAAACGTAACCAAACCACCTCAGTTGTCTTTCTGGGATGGCCTGTGATATCCTTGAGATGGTATTGTAGTGAGTGTGGACTGTATCGTCTAGGACGAAGTCAGTGTACTTCACTCGAAGGATGGTCCTCAAACAGTAGTAGGTCAATATATATATATATATAAATATATATATTTTTATTTCATCTTCCACTCGCATAGTTGAGCATTCACAGCAGCGGAGAAGGACAGATCGAACGGATGCACAGTGCACGCGAACCTCCGTGGCAATTTAAATATAGCGTCGGGTCCACAGGCACTTTCGAAGACTTGAGACAACTCGACGGGTTGCATCGATTTGGAAGACGATAACATCCTTACTCTGTTCATTCGGCAGTAACTTCGCTGCGAGGTTTTTGAAACTGTCTACTGCATATGGCATGGTCGGTAAAAATAGGAGAGACGGGAATGACCATTTATGGCTCATTAGCCGTCGTCAGCTAGTCACACCCAGATCCAAGTGGTGTTGGTAGCAAGCCGCGAACGCACGACCTTTTTGATCAGAGTCAGCCGCCCTAACCATTGAGCCACGAGGTCGTTGTCGTGCTGGCATAAGTCGGAAGATAGTGACACTCGTTGAGGTTGTTCATCAATCAGTGCCACTGTCTACTTTATCAAATTAAAAGCCTTTAATCTCGAGAGGTGCCCTTTCTTGGGTAGGGATGTAGCATGAAAACACTGGGGTCTTCCTAGAGCTTATGCTGAAGCCGACCGACCTAGGAATCTCAGACACTCCGTGACACTACAGACTGTAGATCACCAAAGTTTGAATCCAATAAAGCGACATCGCTGGCGTAGTTGAGATCAGTTAGCCAGCGTCCGGGTGCAAGTTCGATGCCGTCCACTTCACATAGGGCCTTCCCGGGAATTCAGTATGTCTACCCCTTGTCGACTGCCTACTAGTGACTATCATTCTGAGATACTTGGTACTGCACAGCTGGCAGCCATCTTAGCCACGGTAAACCAAGATGTCATTAGACTCGCATCATACATGTAAAATATGAGCTGCATGCGGAAGCAACTGAGGAGCTCTCCGAGACTATTAGTACTTGAGAAGAAGAAGACGACTCGATCGCTGGGACCATACTTTCATTCGCCTGACGTTTCGAGATCCGTCGCTGATACGTTATCAGAGAAATAGTCAGAGAGCAGTAGCAGATACGTAACTACTCGTACAGTAGAGGCCAAAGATCATGCAACATTTCGACATATTCGAAAGACTGATACTCTTTC